CGTCGATGAAGACTCTCCATTCCCCGCTCTCTTCCTCTTGTGTCATCCCTTGCAAGAAGTCCGCTAATACCTGCCCTTTAATAGCGGCCTGTGCCTCGTATTCGATGTCGAACTGTCCTAGTTCCACTGCCCATTTAACCATTCGGCCAGATACGTCCATCTTTCCCAACGTTCCTTTCAAAGGAAGGTTAGTTCGCACTATTACCTCGTGCGCCAAAAAGTAGGGCCTCAGTTTCCGTGCTGTGATCACAAGGGCCAATCCTGCCTTCTCAATCTCGGGATAACTCTTTTCAGCTCCTCTAAGCATTCGGCTTACGTAATAAACGGGATGCTGGGCCCCCTTTCTCTCGCTCAGTAGTACCGTGCTTACAGCTTGGTGACCCACCGCCAGGTACACATACAGCCTCTCCCCGACCTCGGGTTTCACTAGCAGGGGTAGGCGGGTGAGGGACTCTTTCAACTGCTCGAATGCACGGTCGGCATCTTCATCCCATTGGAAGCGATGGCCCTTGCGCAGGATCCTAAAGAACGGGTAGCTGGTATCGACTACTCGCGAGATAAAACGGCTTAATGCCGTGATCCTACCGGCCAATATCTGCACTTCTTTTACACTTCTCGGGGGTAACATTTCTATTATAGCCCGCACCTTTTCTGGGTTAGCTTCCACTCCTTGCTTAGTCACCACGTACCCTAGGAATTTTCCGGTCTCCACACCAAACGCGCATTTGGCGGGGTTGAGCTTCATTCCATACTTTCGTAGTGTTGCGAACGTCTCCTGCAGGTCGCTGATGTGTTCATTGACTTCCCTACTTTTGACCAACATATCATCTACGTACACTTCCATATTCCGCCCTAATTGGGCTCGGAACATACTGTCTACCAACTTCTGGTACGTTGCTCCCGCGTTCTTTAAACCGAACGGCATTGCTACGTAGCAATACGTTCCTGTGGAAGTCACAAAACTGACTTTGGGCTGATCCTCCTCGGCCAGGCGAATCTGATGGTATCCTTGCGAGGCGTCCATCATGCTAAGCATCGCGCACCCGGCAGTCGAGTCCACGAGCTGGTCGATCCTTGGCAACGGGTAGTGATCCTTCGGGCAAGCTTGATTCAAGTCACGGAAGTCTATGCACATTCTCCATTTTCCTTCCGCCTTCTTTACTAGCACGGCGTTTGACAACCAAGTCGGGAACTGGATTTCCCTGATATGACCCGCCTCTAATAGCCTTTTTACTTCCTCGCCGATGATCTTGTCTTTCTCTGCCCCAAAATGCCTCCTCTTCTGTTTCACGGGGCGAGCGTCAGGCCTTAGGTTCAGCTTGTGGACTGCTACCGAGGGATCTATTCCGACCAGGTCTACGGGAGACCAGGCAAACACGTCCTGATGGTCTCGCAGACATGCTATCAGCTCCTCGGCCGTTTTGCTATTCATCCTTGTTCCTATTTTAGTGACCCTCGTAGGGTCACTCTTGCTGAGGTGAACCACTCGCAACTCTTCCATGGGCTGGATGTGACCCTCCCTTTCGTCGTCCGGGTCCTCGCGGGCCCTTTTCTCCCTTGCTCTATCTGAGAGTTCTTCTCCCGAGCGCTCCTCCCATCCGACGGGATTGATGCGCCGTTGTCCCCGTAGCGCTTGATTATAGCATCGTCTGGACGTCTCCTGGTCGCCCCGAACCTCTCCTACCCGATCTAGTACTGGGAATTTCATTTTCATGTGGAAAGTGGAGACGACGGCTTCAAACGAGTTCATCGAAGGTCGTCCCATTATCATGTTGTACGTCGATGGTGCATCTATGATCAGGAATCTGACAGCTCTTGTGGCTCGCAGGGGCTCTGTTCCCAGAGACACAGGTAGTGTTACCTCGCCCATGGGTTGTACCACTTCTCCGGCGAAGCCAATGAGCGCCGTGTCCACCCTCCGGACTTCGAAATTCAGTCTCATCTGCTTAAAACAGTCGTAGTAGATGATGTCTGCCGAGCTACCCGTATCCACCAATATTCTGGCCACATCATAATTGGCGACCATGGCCGTGATGACCAACGCGTCGTTGTGCGGCTGTTGTATTCCAGTCTCGTCTTGTACTCCGAACATGATCGGTGGAGCTATCGATACCCGGTACATCATGGCGAGTTCTCCCCTTAGCTCCTGCAACTCTCGCAGGTGCGCCCGTCGGGACCTGTTCGAGTCTCCACCGATGGGGCCACCGAAAATCGTGTGAATGTAACTATTAGGCGGGCGGGCCTCTGTAGTTCCACTCGCGTTGGTCGGAGGCCGGTTCGAGCTATCTCCCTTCTTGGCCTGCCTTATCCCACTGGGATTACCGCCAACGAATTCCGAAAGATTCTTGCTCCTGATCAGTCTCTCGATTTCATCTCTTAAGTGCTGGCATTCGTCCGTGGAATGACCATGCTCATTGTGGAACCTACAATAGGGCCCGGAGTTAGCGGGCTTTCTTGGAACCTCCGCGTAAGTTCGGGGCCACTTGAGCTTGGGGTGGTTGGCGATGGCAACCAGTATCTCCGAAGGGGCCGACGAGAGAGGTGCGTAGTTCTCAAAACGAGGGCCTCCCCTCCTCTCCAAGCCAGGCTCTCGTCGATAGGTCGGCTCTTGCTTCCTTATATCCTCGCGGGTCTTATCCTTTCGTCTTTCTGCCGGCAAGGTGCTCTCTATAGTTCTGCTTCTCCGGGCTTCCTCCGCGTTTATGTACTTCTCTGCCCTCCTGAGCAAGTCGTTGAAAGAGACGGGGGCCTTTTTGGAGAGGGAATCAAAGAATTCTCCCATGCGTAACCCCTGGGCCAGTGCATTGATGAGCACTTCCTCACTGGTGGCAGGGACCTCTAAAGTTGCCGCATTAAACCTCTGCACATAGCTTCTCAAAGGCTCATTCTCTTTCTGTCGTACTGCAAATAAGGTAAGGGTGCTCCTCTTTTGTTTTTTCGAGCTGGCAAAATGGTTCAGGAACACCTCACCGAACTGTGCGAAGCTGTGGACCGAGCAGCGCGGAAGCTGGCTGAACCACCTTTGCGCTGGCCCCGCCAGCGTGGTTGCAAACACACGGCATTTTACGCCGTCTGTCAGCCGATGGAGGGAGGCTGAGGTGATGAACCTCGACAAATGTTCCCAGGGGTCCGTGGTCCCCGTGTACTCATAAGTGACATGTTTGAACGTGGCGGGAAGCTCACCATGCTGCAGTCTTTCGGTGAACGGCGTTCCCGCCATTCCTTCTTCCTCCTCGAAAGGAGAGGCCTCTAGCCCGTCTAGACATGGTCCCGCTTCGCCTCCGCCCGATGCCTTTCTCTTGGCAGCAGGATCCTCCATCCTCTCCTGGGGCGACCGGCCCCTAGCCGCCGCGGCGATCAAGGCCTGCAGGTTTTCCAGGGTGAGCGTTATGGTGGAATTCTCACGTCCGACAGGGGAACCACCAGCCGCCGGGGTTGGTTCCTCCCTCCGAGGGTCAGAGGGAGGTTCGCCTCCGATGACTTGTAGCGGGGGTGGGGTTGATTCTTCGTTCAGCTGCTCCGATAGGTTTCGGACTACGTCCACGGGCGTAGACATTGGTAGCATCCTCTATGTGATTCTGTAGTGCTAGATGGTGAAGAGCTAGTCTGGCTTTACTTGTAAAACACGTTCCCACAGACGGCGCCAATTGATCCGAAGAAAACAGTTGTGCTGGTAACCTTGGCTTCCGGTGATCTGAAAAAGAGAAAGCCGGACTGATGCCGGAGTTAGCACTCCGACGATCAAGTCAGTGACGGTTTAATTACTATGTTTTCTCAGAATTTAGTGTATATATCATATTGTCTAAAGGGAAAGAGAAACTCCCTTTTATATACTCTTCGACTCGGAGCTCGAGGGTCCGGGAATTCCGCGCTAATTATGGATGACAGTTGTCCTTCCCCGAACAGCCCAGGCGGCCGGGGTCATGATAACTCCTTTAGTAGGTTTACTGACCTCGTTCGGTACTAGCCGTTAAGCCGCACCGGGTCATTTCGCCATAAATGTTAATGTCAGAGCATTAAATGTGCCGTCTAGCATTTATGACCCTCCCGAACTGTTAGGACTCCTCGGGAGGGAATTCAGGCCCTGTGTAGATTGGCCTTTATGCTAATGGGCTGGGCAATCCCTTGGACCGTTAACACTGGTGGGCCAAACCCTTTGATGGGCCTTGACAACTGGGCTCCTGCTCTTGGGCCGGAAAAGAATAACTCTGGTCCGGATCAATATATATATATTCTTAATTCCAATAAAAATCGTTATCATACCAATCAAATTTATATCACCATGCCAAATTTTTATCTACTGTATTAACTGTTAAGGATTGGGATAAATTTAAGTAAAAGGATTAGTAAAAATTGCTAGATTAAACAAAAAACATAATACAACCTTGAATGATGTCTCAAATTAAAAGAGTGGAACCTTCTACTACTTTTGCAAGGTCTGAGTTAGAATTGTTTTGTTTCTCCTATCAACAATATATGTATTTTGTGCATTATTTTTCAATAATCATGAGCAAGAAGAAAGGTTAGTTGAGTCGTCACGACTACACAATTGAATTTTAGATTACCCATGTGCCTTTATCATTTTTTTCCTTCAAATTAAGCTTTGATTGTTTATATGGAACTCATGCATGGAGGCTGGAGCTGAGTAAAAATAATGATATTAGACTATTAGTGGTTGAATAATAAATCTACTAGGATATATTATTAGCAAAGTGCCAAAGTTACACACTTGAAAGTCACATAAATATCAATATTGGTCAACCTACTGTAAATGCATTAGCCAAATTTATGGATTTTTCCACACCTCTCACTGATGCATTTAAATATTATATATATGAGTTTTTATGGGTATGCAAGTTGACTATGGTATGCATATTGACTTTTGAGAAATAAATTTCTCAAATATTTTCTGCAGGACATGTGCTATTATATGCTAGTTTAATTTTTTCACAAGGCTTCTTAACTTGATTTTCTTATTATGTTTTTTGTTTGTCGGTAGTTTGTAGTAATAATATGTGATACTGTATGTTGGTTTAAAATTTTCTTTTGCGCATAAATATCCATGAGCATAGGGATGGAAGAATCAGAGGAAAATAATAGAGTCAGATGGAACAATATTGAAGTAGATAAATGTTTTCTCGAAGCATGTATCCAAGAAGTTGCTCTCAATGGCAGGGAAGGAGGAAGCCTTAAGGCTGAATCTTGGGCCAAGATTATGGATACTCTCAAGAATAATTATAATTTTGTGGTTTCTCAAAGACAAATGAAGAATAGATACGACTACTTAAAACAAAAGTATCAAGCTTGGTTGCCGTTAACAATGAAAACAGGCAATATTTACAACCATGCAACCAACACCATCAACATGACAAAGGATGAGTGGACAGAGTATATAAAGGTCTAGTGTTTAAGTTCTTCACTGTGTTATCTAAGTAATTTTCATTAACTATTCCACTATATTAAGAATTATTATTTCATACCTAAATACAGGCTCATCCTAAGGCAAGGAGTTTAAGACTTGCCCCCTTACCGTATCCTGACCTTTGTAGAGCACTATTTGATGGAACCACTGCTACAGGGGTTCATTCTTGGGGTCCTAGTTCCCAAGACCCAAATCCTGGTACTAGCTCATTTTCTTCAACTGTTCGAAATGCGGAACAAAATGACATAGAAGATATTTTGTTTGGTGATGAAGATGAAAATTTTGTCCCTACCACAGACACTCAGAGTAATGATTCCAACCATCACTCACGAGGAGAAGAGCCTAAAAAGAAAAAGAAAAAGATCCGACCTTCGTCTAGTGATAATAACTTAATAGAAGAGATGTCAGCTGCTTTGAAGTTAATGATAAAAAATAACAGTGGACCGTCAGTTACAGATTGCATTGCTAAATTGGATGAACTTGGATGGGATAAAGAAGACATCTTTTATGTGTCTGCTATTGTGATATTTGGTAGTTGCGCGGGACATAGAGAAGCTTGGATGGCGTTTCCTAAGGATAATGTGGGCGTTCTGAAAGTATGGATTAAAAGAATTGGACAAAATATGGGATTTGAATTTTAACTTGCAAGGACTTATGCAAATTAATTTTAAGACTTCAGTAGTATTTACTTTTATTGATTTTTTTTTTAAATTTCCGTACACTAGTTATGAACTTTGCGTGTTTTTTGTTTTTAATAATGATAGACTTTGTTTTATATTTGCCTTGTGAGTTGGATTCTCTTTATGATTTAATTATTTGCTTAGGAAATGTTGATTCTTAAATATTTAATTGCATTATTCATTTATGTTAACAGGTTAAATATGGAAATTTATGAGATTATGATATTGATGATGATCTATTGGTACACACAAATTCGACCGCGACATTTAATGCGTGTACCAAGAAATATAGATAACAACTCAGCATTGTCGGGTCATGCTTACACGTTAGAGCTATTGTCTGGGTCAGACACACAATGTATGGATTTAATGCGCATGTCTCGTATTGCGTATATTCGTTTGAGCATGCATTTTAGACAAAGAGGGTGGCTACATGATAGTATTCACATATCTGTAGAAGAAAAAATGGCAATGTTCTTGCAGATTATTGGGCATAATAAGCGTCTTCGTGTGGTGAAGCGTAGATTTCAACACTCTTCACAAACAGTTCATGCGTGTTTTCACGAAGTGTTGAGTGCAATGATGAATATGGCAAGGGAGGTAATAGTACCCACAACATTTGACCCAAATCCAAACATGTCAGCAAGTTTTAAGAGGTTAAACCGCATTTTTAAGGTAGATGTTTTTGTGCATTGTATATTTCTTTTGTCATTATTTTATTTCTTTAGATTTGTAAATTCTCTAATGTTTGCATACATTTTTTATTATATTTAAATGTAGGGAGCAGTTGGTGCACTTGATGGAACATTAATACCTGCCATTGTTCCAATTTCACAGCAGACTGTGTATAGGGGTAGAGGAAAGGGAGAATGTTATCAAAATATTTTAGGAATATGCGACTTTACTATGATTTTTACGTTCGTTTGGGCAGGCTGGGAAGGGGTAACACATGATTCAAGAGTCTTAACAGATACAGTTGCTGATCCAAGAAACGGGTTTCCATGGCCTCCACCTGGTATTAATTTAAATTCAAACTAAATTCTTAATATTTATACGTTAAATTTGATATTACTTTATAATTATAATGGTTACAGGTAAATACTATCTTTGTGATGCTGCATATACACATACTAGAGGATTTATGGTTCCATATCGTAATGTACGATATTGGTTAGGAGATTATCGTCGTAGGCGTCCTTTAACTAAAGAAGAAAGATTTAACCATGCTCATGCTCAACTAAGAAATGTTATCGAACGAGCTTATGGAGTTCTGAAGAAAAGATTTTCGATTTTACAAAAAATGGCCCCTTTTTCGTTTAATGTGCAGAGAAATATAGTGATTGCTTGTTTTGCGGTGCATAATTTTATAAGGAAAGAGCGTATAAGTGATACACTTTTTGAGGAGTTTGATCAACCTAATATGCCATTTGACGGTACGAATGAGGATGAGCAAAACCTTGTGAATGATGGTACAACTACTGGGCCATGGTGGGGGGACGAAGACATGCAATACATGGCAAATGTGCGCGATGAGATAGCAACCCGATTGATGCCTGGAGGAACCAGGACCAATTAGAATTTATTAATTTTTTTCATGTTAATTTTAGCGATTAATATTTTTCAGCCAAATTTAATTACTTTAATGTATTTTTATATTTTCTCTGCTTTTATTTATGAATTTTATTTTTATTAGTCGTTTGAATTTAAAATTTGAAATTTATATTTTGTCTATGTTAAATATTATAGTTTATATCAAGATATGTAATGTCCGTCAAATTTTTATAATTTACTAAAGTAAATCATGCTAAAAAAGTATGTTTATTCATATATTCTAATCAAATTTAATTAACAATAATGTTTCAGAATTATACAAGGGTATATCAGGAAAATTACAGTATTCAGACATTACAGATATTTAGTTATCAAATGAACTTAATTATTCAGCATTCAGCAATCAGACACAGCTCTTACCCATTCAGATATTTATTCAACATTCAGCATTAAGCACTTAATCCTATCAAACGGAGCCTTAGTAGGTGTTGGATTCAAGGATGGTGGCTTCGATAGAGGAAAAGGGCCGTATATCTCTTTTAATGGTTTGGTATTTAGGCCCATGGTTCTAATTGAGCACTTTTTTATTTTGGGTAAATACATTTAATTATTGTGGTTCGAACTTCGTGCACAAGATCTTGTCACACTTTTAATATTGAGGAAATATGCAATACACCCCTCAAATGGAAAATATTTTGAAAGAAGGGCAATGGTAAAAAGGCTCATCATATGGGACTTAAGTGCATTTTGGTCCACAAAAAAAACAGTCTTTCAATTAAGTTCATCCTCGTGTCTTTAGTCTAAAATACCCTCAATAATATAATTCTTATCAATTCCACCCATTATGCTCTAACTTCCTTAATATTACACATTGACCCCGGATTTAAACAAATATATCACATTAACCCCCAAAACTTTTTTTTTCAGAAAATAATTTTTTTTCTGAAATGTTTTTTTTCCGGCCAGATTCCGGCGTTGACCGCCGGAGACCGCCGGTCTCCGGCGTTGACTTTTTTTTTTTTTTTTGAATTGTTTTTCTTAGAAAAAAAAATATTTTAATTAATATTACTGTCTTGGCTACTAAATTACTGTCTCAGACAGTAATATTACTGTTTGGGACAGTAATATTATGAATATTATTTTTCCGAACAGTAATATTATTAATATTATTGTCTAAGACAGTTAAATTACTGTTGGAGACAGTAATTTAACATCCAAGGCAGTAATATTAATTAAAAAAAAAATTAAGGAAAAAAAAAAAAAAAAAAGGTCAATTTACAGTTAAATTACTGTCTCCGACAGTTAAATAACTGCCGGAGACAGTAATTTAGCAACGAATACAGTAATATTAATTAAAAATATTTTTTTTAAGAATAAAAAAGTCAATTAACATTAAATTACTATCTCCGACAGTTAAATAACTGTTGGAGACAGTAATTTAGCAACGAATACAGTAATATTAATTAAAATATTTTTGAAGAAAAAAAAAACAAAAGAGTCAATTAACAGTTAAATTACTGTCTCCGACAGTTAAATAACTGCCGGAGACAGTAATTTAGCAGCCAAGACAGTAATATTAATTAAAATATTATTTTTAAGAAAACACTTTATTTTTTTATTTTTTTATTTTTTTAATAAATTTTTTTTTTAATTTTTTTTAAACAAAAAATTGAATTTTTTTTCTCGACTTGTTTACTACGTCGAATATGACTATAGTTGACTATATGTGACTATATCAACTGTAGTCATATTCTTTCTTTTTATTGTAGTTTTTTACATTTTTAATTAAAAATTCGATTAGTGTGGTACAGTCATGTTTACCAAATTATATAAAACAACGAAGATTGCCTAGGGCTTATGAAAACAATTGTTGGTTGTAATATCTACACGCAAGTGCACGTATCGTACAAGTATTATAGTGGACTAAAAGTTCGGATATCGAACCCACAAGGAATATTTAATTATTTAATCCTAGACGCTAAATCCTACCAATTATTATCAAGCCCACCCTACACAGTCGAATTTTGAGAGAATTAACTAAATTAAACTAAATTAAAAAGACAAGAGCACGAAAGCAATTAAAAGCGAAGGTTTAATCAGAGTAAACAAGCCTAGGATTTTATTCTTCCCCCTATGTGATTATTACTCCCCCAATTCCTTCAATTATGCAAGCAATTAACCCGGATTATTAACCTGAGATGCTAAAATAATCATAACCCGCTTCCGCGTGTATTACGATTCTAATACTCTAGATTCAATTACTATATTCCTATGCAATTAATTCTAGAACACATCATTAAACACAAATCTCAATAATGGCTACCTAAAACATTAACTATATTCCTATGTTAATACCACAAAGGCTCTTCTACCACAGTTCTAATTATTAACCCGATCTTTCGATTCATGCGATTAACAATAACCTAAAAGCACATAAGGTGATCAAATTCATGCACTTAATCAAACAAGTAGGAGAAATAATCTGGAATTAAAACTTGCATAAAATCATAGAATTGGGTTCATAAATCCCACATAGGGTTCCAAATAAAATCCTAGAAATAAGAAAATTAGCTACTCATGATTAAAGTAAAAACGCAAATAAAATAAATCATAAACGATAAATCATTGCTTGGAGTCTTCGAATTCTTCGTCTTCGTTATTGCTTTGTTGCTTTTGAAATTACGTAAAAGATTCATCCCCAATTGTGTGCTTGTCTTGGTCTTATATAGGGTGGAAAATTTGGAGAAGAAGGCAGTTTCCTTGTACAATTAAAATCCCTTTACTATGCTGCCTCGTGGTCTCGGACGGCCGTCCCATATTTTGAACTAAAACTCGGACGGCCTTCCGAGCTTTAAATCTTCATATTTTGATTTTTTCACTTTTGGCCCATATTTTTTCCAAAATTGTAGTTTTGAGTCCATACATTTCCAATTCTTCAATTTGTACCTAAAATACAATAAATCAACTTTTTAAGCACCAATTATCGTTAAACACACCGAAAGCTCAAATAAAAAGGTACGATAAAGTGTAAAAATATACACTTAACAACAATCCAATCAACATCCACATTAAAAAAAATCACAATTTGAATGTCATTATTACAAGTTAACTTGAAACGAAAAGATAGAACATATTTGAATATGACTATAGTCATATTCAACTAAATTCATATTCGAATATGACTATAGTCATGTTACTGCTGCTAGTTTAGATTTGGAGAAGAAAAAAATATTCGAATATAATTATAGTCATTTTAATGCTGCTACTGCTAGGTTAGATCTAGAGAAAAAAAAAATCTAAAAATACAGAAATAGAGATAGAAAGTTTAGATCTGGATAAAAAACAATTCGAATATAACTATAGTCATTTTAATGCTGCTAGTTTAAATCTGGAGGGAAAAAAAGAAAGAAACCGGAAAATACAGAAATAGAGATAGAAATATAACGAAAGAGAGGGAGGGGGAGTCGACGACAACGGAGGAGGCGACGGTGGTGGTGGTGGACAGAATTAGAAAAAAAACCCTGAGAAATCGATAGAAATAACAAAAAAGAGAGAAAAAACCTATCTAGAGACGAAGGACGCGACAAC